CCAATATAAGTAAGAGAAAAAAAAAGGTGGGAGTAGGAGGAAAGCGAAGAAAAAGAATGCATCCGAAGAAACAGAAGAAAAAGTAAGAGGAAAAGAGAAGAAAACAATAATACCATTAGATAAAGCGAAACAAAAAAAAGACAAGCGAGCAAAGTAATGAATTGTTTTTGCCATTGACCCCTCCAATTGGATGTTTTGGGTCCGAATGATGCTTTGTGACGGAAAAAAAAAAACATTAAAATGAAAAATGTAAGGGACAAGCAAAAAAGAAAAGAAAAAAGCAGCAGAGCCCTCATTTATCTTTTTGTCTCGTTTGCTCTCTCTCTTTGTCCCTTTCTCTCAGTTTAAGGGAGATTATGGTGATTGTGAAGGCGTTGCGGGTTGATAAACCCAGTGTGCGGTTCTGTTTTCAGTGGCGTTGCATTTACTCTCGCTATCCGTCCTTTTCTTCATCTTGCGTTTTTTTTCAGTTGCTTTATCTTTTCCCTCTTTTTTTTTTGAAGGGACTTCCCCTTCCATCTTGTGTGCGTGTATGTGCAATATGCATCTGCGGATGATGGGAGTTGGGGGTGGTAGAGCGGTGGGACGTGATGGAACTCAGCTGCCGACATAGGGTGAAGAACTGAGCATGAAGAAGAAATGAAAATAACGGGGTTTCACTCCTTGTCTTCATTTTTTCCTTTTTTGGAGGTCTTTTTTTCGCACCTTGGTGGTACTGTCTATCGTGTGTGCGGGTGTGGGTGTGTAGGGCTGGTTGGATTTTTGCTTCATCCTATTATTTTTGGAGCCTTTAGCGGGTGGGAGTAGTGTCACTCGGAGTACTTCCTGACAGCGGCAGTGACGCAAGGTTGTGTGGGGTTTGCTGGCACTGATTGTTGGTGCTTAGCGCGTCTGTGTGGCTGGATGGCTGACTGTGGAGTGTAGTTCGGCACGAATTTCAGGGGAGAAGCGAGGAGAAAGGGGGAAAAAAGAATGGGGTAATGGGGAGGCTGGTGGGCGGTATGCCCCAGCATTCTCTACCCCACTCTACCGGCTGATGCAGCTCTACAACCGATTTATATTTCTAGGATGGGCGGCGTAAAGGATTTTTTTTCAAAAAAGTGTCGTGGTGGCGCTAAGGGGAGAAAAAAAAAAAGACGAAGATAAAAAATATTATTAGTTGTCATTATAAACAGTGGAAGATGAGTGGCTTAGTGGTGATGTTTTACTTCGGCGACAGCGGGAAGTGCCCTTTGAGCGGCGGTGGCGGCGGTAGTGGTGGTGTTCTTTGGGACGACGGAAG